GGGTTTCAGCAGTTGAGTGCCCTTTGCAAGCTATTTCACACATTATTCTAGATAATCAACGAAGGGGGTTATATTATGGGAAAAAATATAGTTTAGAGGGTTTGGGAATATCGGTTAGTTAAAGCAGGAAACTGATAAAAGTTGTATATAGTTTAAGGGAGTTTTAAGATATTAACCCTAATAATAAAGATGGTTGGAGAGTCTTGGTTCCATGATCATAGATATTGGTTTCTTAGGGTGTGTAGTCAATCCATAGATTTTCTCCATGCTTATATTTTCTGGCTTCGTATCTCCAGCTAATTTCCAGTTGAATCCATGCAACAAGTTAGCCAGCGTTGTCCGAACAATCTTAATCCCGAGGTTAAAAGCAGGACACTTTCTTCTTCCAGAACCAAATGGCAACAGTGTAAAGTTTTGTCCCTTTATGTCAATGTCATTTTCTAAGAACCTTTCCGGAATGAATTCTTCTGGATTATCCCAATACTTAGGATTTCTTCCTAAAGACCTTGTGTTTACAAAAACCATTGTCCCTTTGGGTATATCATAACCAGCAACAATGCAGTCCTCTATAGAGTAATGCGGAGGAAGTAATGTTGTTAATGTATTGGGAAAAAACTGAATTTATATTAAAGATGATGTGGCATGACACGTGGGTTAGTTAAATGGTCAAAGCGCAACAATTGACTAAGAGGCACGGATGGAGACAACCACGGGAAGAAGAATTTAAATAGGCACGAGACGGCGTATAGATACGAGTCTCGTATCAATTTAAATTATTTACAGCCAACGGATTAGAAGGCATTGAAGACAAAGATCTGGTGACAGAACGGAGTCCAAATTCATTATTAAATACTTGATACGTTACGAAATTGATATTTAATAGGAATGATTGTATAACGGCTTATTTAATGTCATTTATTACTCATAATTATATCATTAAAGCTGAGCTTCATTCCTTTACCTAGAATTATCTATAAAAGGAAGAAGTATCATCATATGTAAGGACACAGAATACTATTGAGAATTCATTGAAATACACAACTATTTGTTTTTTTACCATCATTCTTAAAAGTAATTTATTTTGTCTCCTAATTATCAGTAACCCGAATTTCTTTTTAGTTTTGACCAAAGACTCAGATTTTTGGTTAAACAAATTAGTTCCGTTACCGGGAATCTGATAATCTTTCCTTTTAAGCTATATCTTATCTATTGTCGTCACC